GCTGAACTGCAGATAACAGTCAGCTGAAGTGGCCTGCAGTACTGCACCCTAACTACTGCGCCACCTCGGCTCTTTGTAGCAGCCCTTCTTTAAAACTGTGTCCATGTGGGTTTTTTAAAACTTCACAATAATACAGAGGAGCAATTTTTCAAGGAAGATTACAGCACTGGTCAGCTCTTACAGCACCCTTTATGAAGGTGTAAAATGGTGTCCGTTAAACATAATGGATCTTATTTAAGTATTTCTCAATGATCAGCTGTGGATTGAAGATGCTCAAGGGAAGGGGAGCTCAAATTTGTGAGCTGACTGGAAAACCCTTCAAGGGCCGCACAGTATTTAATAAAAGTCTGATAAATATATTGACTCACATAACATCCTACGGTACATCAAAATGTGTGTGGGGGGGGGAGGGAATTGATGGCTTCTTTGTTGTATAAATCAGCTAATGTGATTTATAAACCATGCTCTTTCCCTTAGTTATGAAAATTACTATTGGGTGTTTTTAGTTACTTTTCCAAGTCTCCTTTAAGTAGATTATCTTACAGTATTAATTTTTAAATCTTATTTTAGACTACTGCTATAATTTGAGAAATTCATGTAACAAAGATCAAAAGTATTCCAGAGCTATGAACCTTGTTTTCTAAGCAAAATACTAGATATCATTTAGAATATGCAGAACATTTAATCCTATGGGCCAAGAATATTCTGTCTAGTTTATGTGATGTGTCAGTTTGGCCATAATCAACTATTATAAAAGCAAGACAGAATGTGCTTATCTGCTGAGCATAGTTACTACCAACATAGTAAACTCCCTGAATGTTAAATTTTGACTCCCCTAATGAACATTAATTGGAATAACAGATCTAAATACATTCACTAAACTATTTACAGCAGGAAATAAATCAAGATAAGAATCTGTGCTGCAGTTACTTGTGATCTCTTTGTCTTCTGATGTAAAAGAGATAATTGAGACAAAGGGATCACAAGTAGTTACAGCACCGATTTTTCTCTTAAAAATGTGCAGGAATGAAAATATTTGTATTCTGTTTAATCTTGTATGAATTTAATACTTTGTATTACTTTGAGTTTACACAGAATAAGTTTTGGCCCTGTTAATATATACAGGAACTCTGGGAAGGTTGCATACGTGCCCTGCTAACCATTATGTAAATACCATAGTTGACTTTTCTGGTCATTGCAAAGGTGCTTTCTTTTTCTTCAAAAAGAAGCAGGACTGTTTTTTCCTTGAGGAAGAAGAAGTTTCCTTTAGATGAGAAGAGAAACTTTTCTTCTTCCTCCTCAAGGAAAAAACAGTCCAGCTGCCTTTTGAAGGAAAAAAAAACATACACCTTTGAGACAATTATGATTTGGATGACTGAGACTCTCCGGAGACTTTTCTGCTCTTGTGATTTAAATGCCATTTAAAAATGGATTTTTAACTTCAGTTTAATAAACTAATGCTATTTTCTGATCATCTTCAAAGCCAAAATATGCCAATATGTTGCAGCTGAATACCCATCTGCCCAGGGAAGCCTCTTTTAGTATTTGCTCAGTACACCCCCCCCATCCGATTTTAATACTTCAAAGTCTTTTTAAGCTTAAAAATAATCAAATAATATTTGTATTACCAGCATTTACAGCAGAATAAAAGAAACAATTTAATATAAAAATGTTATTAGAAAAAAATAAGACAAATAATATAAATAAAAATAATAATATTTAATTAAACATTTGGTGCAATTCTATAACATGATGAAAATATTTGGCCAGCTGGTATGTGAGTGTAGAAACAGCATCAAAAAGCAATAATTAAAAATAATTGAAAATGCAGTATGCTGCAATCATCTTTACTGACTGTACAATAATAATTTCAGGCTTTATACAAGCCCATTTTAAAAAAATAAAAATTGGATGATAGCAGTCCAGTGCTTTATTTGGAAAGTCCCTATCTGCCCAGTGCCCAGTAATAACAGCGTCTTCATCAGCAAAAAGGGACAGCAGAAAAATATTGTTGTCTTGTAAGTATTGGTAATTGCTTATGATTTCCATCAAAGCCACTTCACAAATAGGCAATGCTTCCATGGTAACCATCTTGAGAAAGTGCCCATAACATGCTTTCAAAATTTTAGAAGTGCTCACTTATCCAAAATAGTTGTTCACTCCTGTCTTAACGATAGGTAGACTAATCTAGCTCACAGAAAAGTTCCATATAAGAACTATAGTACTGGCAAAAGGTGAAACCTGCATAGAATAGAGATAATTATTTAGTGAAATGAAAGGATACAGACCGTTGTTTGTAGTCTGATAGTTGCTACTTTCTTTTTTCCCTTTTCCTTTATTACCATTAATCATCTTTATTTGCTAGCATGCATTCCTATGTCTTGTTAAGCTGCTAGAACGTCATTGGCATTTGAAAGTCAATGAATGCACCCAATGTGACAGCAGATAGTGCTGAAAAGATTAAAGACTGTGTGGCTAATATCAATTTCTTTTTTAACAATTGTTTTATCTTCTCTTTCTCTTTCTTTTTACAACATCTCTTTAAATGCTACTTTATATATCCTTGAGGTTTTCTTATGAACTTGATTCTTTCCATTCAGTTTGCATGAGGGGTTTTTTTAAGAACAGAAGGTAAAGAAGGCACTGGCTCAATGGTGTGTGGGAGTGTTGCTCCTGTTAATGCTCACTTAAAACAGGTGACTCTCCTGTTTTGTGAGACAGACTGCAAGTATACTGCTCAAAATACTTAACATAGTAAGATACAATGCT